TTGGTTTGCTACTGAGAGCCTGTGCCCGTCAATTATATCTGAGAAGGTCAGCAAGCTGAACATTTAGACAATCATGGTTTGCACTCATGTGGTACCACCATCTTTATAATATCAAAGAACGCTGCTAGCACATTAATATTAATATTGTGTTTTAATGAACTGCTTTTAGATGTTTTATGGTAATATGATTGTTATTTGTGTATTTACCTTGTGTAAGCCACCCTGAGCCTGCCTTGGCAGGAAGGGCAGGGTATAAATTGGAAAAATAAATAAAATACATGTATTTTTGTATAATATAAGTTTAAAGTAGGTTTTGAATATTGGCCCTTTATTAGACTTCTTTCTTACCCTTGTGGTTCTTGATTCCCTGGATCACCAACCTGTCCTTCAGATGGCAGACAGTGCTGGGGAGAAGCTAGTGGTCATGGTACATGGTACATGTTGGCACTGACAAAGTGGAGAAATGTAGTTGTGTGATCCTGGAAGAAAAATTTAGGCTGCTTGGCAGGAGACTCACAGCCAGGACCTCTAAGGTAGCCTTCTCAAAGTGCTGCCTGTTCCACACGCAGGGTCAGCTAGACAGGCACAAATTAGGAGTTTCAATGCATGGATGAGACAATGGTGTACAGAGGAAGGGTTTAAGGCTGTTAGGCACTGGGATGCTTTTTGGAATAAGCAGGACCTGTACAAAAGAGATGAGGGAAAGCCAACAGGAGATGGAATGTCTCTGATTTGGGATGGCTCATCTCTAAGAGATGAAGGGGTAGCTGTTCCTGTTCTAGAGGGAAATGGATTAGGGCTGACCACTGAGAGGGTGACAAACAATACTGACTGCCTAACAAGATCTAGAGGCCACAGGAAGAAGGTTGCAGGCCTAGCATGTCACGGAAATTATAGATGTCTATATACAAATGCTAGAAGTGTCCAAGGTAAAATGGGGGAGCTAGAATGCTTAATGTCAGAGCATAGACATTGTGGACATTTCAGAAACTTGGTGGGATGAGGATAATCACTGGAATACAGTGATTCTTGAATATAAATTATACTGGAAGGATAGGGAGGGAAGGGTCAGAGGTGGAATGGCTCTGTATGTCAGAGAGGGTATAAAGTCCAGTAAAACTGACAATCTAAGAAAAATAGATTCACTTACAAAAACGCTATGGGTAGAAACAGTTTGCCCAAAATGAAGCTTAACTCTAAGAGTTTATCGCCCACCAGATCAAAGGTTAGGGGATGATTTAGAAACAGCAAAAGAATTAAGGGAAGCAGCTAGGCAAACCAGCTGTGTTATAATAAGTGATTTTAACTACCCACACATTCATTGGGTTAAATCAGGAGGAAGACATTGGATTCCTAGATACTCTCAATGACTGTACCATGGAGCAGATGGTCACAGAGCCTACCATGGGGAGGTGATCCTGGACTTGGTCCTAAGTAATGCTCAAGACCTGGTGAGAGATGTAAACATGATAGCATCAGTTGGAAACAGTAACCACAATGCTACTAATTTTAGAATTTATGTAAATAGGGAGTTGCCCCAAAAGACCAACACAACGACATTTAACTTTAGAAGAGGTAACTCCTCTCAAATCAGGGGGCCTGTGAAGAAGAAATTGAAAGGAAAGGTAAGGAGGGTCAAATACCTTTGGGAAGCTTGGAGATTATTTAAAACTAGGTGAGGAAAAGTACAAATAGATATAGAAAAAAGCCCACATGGCTAATGAACAAAGTAATGGAAGCTGTAAAAGGTAAGAAGGATTCCTTTAAGCGGTGGAAGGCTAATCCGAGTGAGATAAATAAAAGGGAACATAGGCTTTGGCAAGTAATATGCAAATTGGTGATCAGACAGGCAAAAAGGAACTATGAGGAACATGTTGCAAAAAAAGTAAAGCCCAACAATAAACATTTCTTCAAATACATTAGTAGCAGAAAACCAGCCAGGGAGGCAGTGGGGCCATTGGATGACCAAGGGGTAAAAGGATTGCTAAGGAATG